AGAAGGACGTCAGACTCAAGACGAGAATCCTGATGGATTCCACGTTTCCCGAGAATCCTGACGATCACACGCCGTGGTTTCTACCGACCGTAATCTACAGAGGACTGCCCGTGTTCAGCATAACGACGCGAGTCGCACCGGCCGAAGTGTTGGACCGTTGCACGGCCGCCTCGGACGTTCCCGCGCTGGGCATGAGAACCTACTCAAGGGAGTACCTGTCTCTTATACACATCTATGCCGTCTACGTAATACGTGATGTTGTTGAACCGGGAACGCGTGACGTTTATTCCATCGACGAATTGCAACATTTTCTTGGCGACCACGTCCGCCGTGGAACGCGTGAAAGGAATGATTTCCGACAGATCGAGCGTGTGCGGAAGCGAGTGACCAGTCGTCGAGTGTAGACCCAGTACGTATCCACACTTACTGTTCCATTGCCCAATATTTCCGACGGTCGTGTAAAAACTCTGCCTCTTGCGTAGATCCAAAATTCTGAATACAACCGCATCGAACGACATGGTCTTCGAAAGTGTGCCGCGAGATCTCATCTCCTTCCTTTTTATGCGATCAGCATTTCCTCGGCTCCTTTCGCATCCGTTTGGAGAGCAAACTCGAAGAACGATCTGACTATACTTCTACCGAATCTCTGGCCATCTCTCCCCGAAAAACCGCAGAACGTCGTCACGGCGCGTATCGTACTGTAGTCGCTCCCGCCTGGAAACATCATTCGAACGCCGAACAAGTCGCATATGCCGTGTCCCCATCTCATACGTTTTCCGACGTTTCCGCTGATCGGCACGAATCGTGCGGTGCGATGAAACACGTCGAAGCAGCCGGCGATCAGAAACTCATCCGGTGCATTACAGCGGAGCATCTGCGGTTTCGAAAGATGTTTTCCGACGACGAACGGTGCTATTACCGCCTTGAAAATTCTTCCGTCGTCCGTCTGCAATTCAACCGTACCCGGCACGAGCCCACCATCCATCGGCTCGTACGGGCAGGCGCACGCCATCAAAGTCATCACGTCTTCGTTCGTTCCCACGACGTACGGTCTCGGGAGGTCGGCCGGAATCTTATTGAGGAAATCGCAGAACGCCCCGTTGTTTTTCGGTTGCGAGACGACGGTCACGAATCGATTTTCGCGTCCGGTCACGCATATTCTGGCGTCTGCGTCGTCCTCCTCTAATACCGACATCATGCTATTCTCTACGTAAGCCGTTAGCAGCCCGTTACCTTCTCTCGGCGAACACACCTTGAAGTAGAGACGGTTCATGCCATCCAGGCACGCGATCAGCGTCGGTACGTCGTTCGATCTTCTGTCCTTTTTCTCCTCCAGCTTCTGCGCCATCAACCCGACCGATTCCAGTAGCGGTCTTCTGCCACCGCCGAAAAAATCAATAAGAGGTTCTGCATTTCCTCTTAACTGCAACACGGGTATCGGCTGCACCATCGACGGTAGGTTTTCCATCAGCACTCTGTACATCTCTTCGAGATCTACCTCGTTTGGTTCCTCCATCTCGTCTGAAAAGAAAGACAAAAGAACGGCGGTGTTATTAGCGTCGTCATTCGGAGAGAAAAAGGAATAAAAAATTACTACTTTCCTCCCCACCACGACCACCACGCATTATGAGCAGTGTGAAGCAGCCGGTCGTGAACGGATCGATAAGGGCGTACGAAGTCGATCCCTGTTATCTCGCCTCTAATTTCGGAGATAACAACGACGTACGCGGTAAACTGTATCCTCCCTCGAGCAATTCCCTCATACAGGCGGGACAGGTGTTGCTCGGAAAATGCAACTCGGCCACCTCCCGGGTCGGATTCGTGCCTGGTCCCAGCGGCATGGACACGCCGTCGCGAGAAGACGTGGACGACGTCGAAAGACGTCAGTTGATGGAAGAGAGCGACATGCAAGGGTACAGAGTGATAGGCGTCGCCGCTACCGAGCTAACGGACTGGCCGAAGAACAAACTCCTGTCC